TTTCAAAACTAAAATTAATCAAAACTCATTTAAGAAGCAGCATGTCACAACACCGTCTTGGCTCTGGCTACTATATCAAATGAAAAAACAATAGCTTATCAACTTGATCTGGAGAAAGTGATTGCTGTTTTCTCGCTTTTTTATTTGCAAATCGGTCAATCTTGAAGTTTTTTCTATGTATTATTATATATTTGTTATAAAACTAAACTTGCATACATTTTGTCAATACAGTTTATATTCAATGTAGTAAATATTATAAGATGCTGCATACTTAAAGAATTATATTTTGTTTTATTATTACATTTATATTTATTAAATTGAATGTTTCATTGTTGAAATGCCTTGAATCTGAAATTGTTATTAAGTAAAATTTAAAATTGAAATAATTAGATATATATTTTTAAAGTGAATGTCCAAAATAAATTTCGCGAGAACTCTTCGGAGGAACAAAGGGGTGCACCGATTCTACTTGCTGCAGGGCGCTGAATATGTAGCTACGCAACTGGATATTAGTAATTAAGAGGACTAATCACTTATTACATCAAATTTAAACGACTTAATGCTTTTTTTGTATCAAAACGAACCTCGCAGAGAACAATATACATAAAATTAAATGCTAAACTAAGAAGAATTTCGATAGTTCAGTGTTATGTACTGCACAGTACATATACATATAGTATAACTAAAAAGTAGAAAATAAAAAAATACATAAGCATTTTAAAGTAACGCTTTTTATTCAGATAAATGTATTAAAAAGTAAACAATAGATTTTTTCAGCTTTCACAGTATTCTTGGTAGTATAACAAAAAATACTGTGAAAGCTGAAGAAAATTTAATTTTTAACTTTTAGTATATTTATCTGAATAAAAGAAAAGCGTTAGTTTAAAATATTTTTTAAATGTACTTTTTATTTGTTTTTCATGCACAGATAGTGCTAACAGCATTGATATCGTATGGCAAAATTACTTTGCATACATGAATACATAGGGGAGACCGGGGCAACTTCGGCATGCGGGGCAACTTTGTCAAGCGCTTTTTTTAAAAACAAATTAAAAGAAGACTTTGGTTATATGTTAGGCAGTTGAGTTTTATTGGTGGCTTGTTGAGTGTAGTGTTTTTATTGTTCTCCAACAAGCGTAGTTGAATTATCAAGCAAATTTTCATTTTCGTTCAATTCCATATAATATTTTTTTTCCATTTATATTGAATTGGCAGGTTTTGTTATAATTCCATGATAACGAAAGTTACTTTTCCTGTTAGAAGGATGTAACTTCAACTTATTCACGTGGCCAGATCGTGGCTTGGCATTCTGTTCTCAGGGTTGTACTTAATGTTTCGAAATCATGACTAGCGGGGTAAGATCGGCAACATAAAGCCACATTAGAAGCAAAGGATAAAAATCAAACAGATGATAAATGAAAACATGTTTGCATTTGTTATTCATGTATATATGTCTTTGAACTTGCATTTCGTTGTAATAATATTAAATGGGTGTTGGATTTGTATTTCTTTGTTTTAATAGTGAATTCCAACTTATACATTGTTAATAACATAATTTTATATACGTGCCTATCTTGCCCCATTACTGTTGCCCCTATACCAGGGGCAACTTTAATAAAAATAATTAAAATAATTACAACTTTACAAAAAGAGAGAAGTTGCCGATCTTGCCCCTATACCCGGGGCAACTTCGTCAATTTCTCTCTTCTTGTAAAGTTGTAATTATTTTAATTATTTTTATTTCCAAACTGATTTTAACCAGTTCTATAGTAAGGTAACATTCCAATAGACAATATGCAAAGCTTTTTTTTCAGTTTACAGCAGTATTTATTACACAAAATTTAAGTAAAGCTTAACATGCCGATCTTGCTCCGGTCTCCCCTACATATACAAATATATGAAGAATTTTTGAAAAAGATGACAATAAACAAAACGGGTTTATAATTTATTTGCAAATTAAAAATTGTAAAATTTATTTTTCGTCTCTGAACATCAAATATAACAATTTGTTTTTTATTTTCAGGAATGAGCCTGAACATCAAATACAAGAAAAATATGAGAAATTATTTTATTTATCTATTCGGCTTGTATGAATTATGGAGATTTACACAGCCGTTTTAAGTCAGTGCGATGCTTGCGGGAACTCGATCGCATGCTCTTATTGAGGTTTGCCGCGGCAAATAAGTGCGCCCGCATGACGTCATTCGAAACATTTAACACCGCCAGATTGTATCGAAATCTTGCGGTACCCAGTCAGCATGCACGTATTGTGTGCAGGGCGAATCTACGTAGGGACTAATAAAACTTAAGCCCTGATCCCCTTTGTCAAGGGCCAACAAAATTGAATTACAGTATTATCATAAATTTTAAATACTTTTTCATTATAATGTATTCCATTTGTATTGTGTAGTATAATGAGCTTTATAATAGTCTATACTTTTTATTCACACCAAATAACGTTTCTGCCTATTGTTTATTGCTAGAGATTACTGTATTCTTATTATAACTTTCAGCATGCCCAAATAGTTTGGTCAGGATTCGCTTTTCATATATTATTTATTTATTTATTTTTATTTATTTAGTATATACAGTAGACTCCCTATAACTCGGGTTCATATAATGCAGATTCGTATATCGCGGCGAAAAAATTGCGACTGTATTCGTATAAATACGCTAACAGAGAATCGTAAAATGCGGTGAAACGTCATCGCCGACTCGTGTCGCGACAGGATTGATCGAATCTGGACCAATAGTGGACGAGCAGCCTAACTACTTACACGCTATGGAGAGTTTAGGCGGGTAAGTTGAGTTTACTATCGTGTGTACAGTATGTAAATTAGGTACCGTAAGTCTAATACAGCACTAATTTTATACATTTCTTGTGAAAGAAACACTTCTTATTCAACGGTCATAAAAATTATTTCTATTAATGATGTCTCCAAAGTTCAACGAATTTTTCGCAGAAAAATAACTTATCAGAAAACGCGGACGCAGTTTGGTCCGCCGCTCCGTGACGAAAACAAGCTTAAGCAATGGCGTCATTGAACGGCGCACACTCGGTAAGGAATCGTACGATTTTTTGTTTATAGCATAGTTTATACGGATTATTCTCAAAAAATTATACGTGTTTTGGAAATGTTGACTCAAATTAGTCTAGAATCGATTAATTTTATGGAAGAAAACCTTTCAAACAGCCATAGTCCGTAAACTGCACACGTGTCGCGCTGTGATGTTGGCTCATGTATTTAAGGTTTCCTACAACGCGAAATTCTTATAAAGTGGAACTTATCTACCGCGTTATACGGGGTCGACTGTATTTTAATTCGTCAAATGTTTTTCTAACGTTCGTTAATACTCTTCATCTGATTAGTATTCACGTCATTCGAAAAACATTCTATATGATTGTTGTTCGTGTTTGGGAAATCTTTGGTTGTTCCGTAATTATGTAGTATGTTAACATTACTAATTTTCTTTTAATTTCATTTTTTAAAAACACATATTGCATAGACATTTGCAAAACACAGAATTATCCGGTGCCAACACATGTAAAAAATCTCTATAAAAAACAACTTTGAAAAACTTTACAAATAAAATTTGCATTGGACGCACTGTAAAAGTGTCCTCTTTTTTAAATAAATAAATAAACAATATACCGACTATTAAAGTTTGCTGGAAACTGCATACAACAACAACAACAAAAAATGTTTTGAATTGAGTTAAAAATTAAAAAAATCAAGAACTTCTAATTTAGAAGGTAATTTTCGTTTTTTAAATAAAATATAATACAAAATATTGCAAACTTTTATAAGATTTTAAAAAGCAAAGATGGTCAATACTCCGATAACTCACTCTAATTCTTATTTTAGTAATGAAAAGTCTTGCCACCGAGAATGCCCTTTCCGATTCAATTGATGTGATTGGAATAGTGTTTAATGCATTTAAGAGAAGACAGATATTATGTGTTTTTTCACCTGTAGCCTGGAGATTTCGAGTTCGTTTTCGAGATTGTAATATTTCTTTCGCTCTCTAGTATTCTTGATTTGTCTACCTTGGCTGCTTTAATAGCGGCATCAAGCTTAGAGCTCGATAATTCGGCAATTCGTTTGGCTTTAATAATCAGGTTTATGAAGAAAAACTTCATACTTGCAGACTTTGTACTCGTTTGTATCCTTGCCCAATTTGCACAATCTAACGTCAGGCATTTATTGAAGTTACTGGGCATGGTTAAAACTCAAGACAGCGTAAGCACAATTATTCCAGATATTACAGGTTCCGACAAGTAAAGAATTTTTATAGTCCTGCCACCAATAAGCTATATATTGATTATTGACCATTTGTGACATGCTATAACGAGCAAAATTTAAAAAAAAAACTAATAGGTAGGTTTAAAATTAATAAATACAAATGTATTCTGACAGCGAATGAGTTAATTATGCTTTCTATTTGCAAAATTCCTCAACCTTAACACAAAATAAGAAAAAAAGTGAATTTTTAAGAAATTTGCGGGATTTCCCGGGATAAGAAAAATTTCCCGGGATATTTCCCGGGTTAAAAAAACAACCGGGATCCCGGATTCCGGATTCCGGTTTCTCAAACGGGATTCCGGAATCCCGGGATTCCGTTTGAGAAACCCTAGTTGCAGCCTACCGCTCTGGGAGTCCGTAATCGAATCTGAATGGGTCGAAAACTCAGGAATTTTCGTGATGTGACACGCCAGATATGTCGGGCTTCCTCCCCATAATTCATTCGGCTCCCGCCATATGGGCCTGGACAAATCCAATTTGAGTTTGCAAAAAAAAAAGGAAAAAGATGCACAGGACAAAATCAAAAAACAAGAAAAACACATTTTAAATACTTTCTAAGTAAATTTATTGTAAGACAAAATAAACTGGAATAAGATATACAGTAAAATTTCTAGTTTTTGTACATTAAATGTCTTTTATTTGATGAATATTTCTAACATTAAATGTGAATTTTAACAGTTATATCTATCTAATTCTTTAAATAACTTTAAGTAAACAATTGGTACATATTATTTACTCATTTTCATTTTAAAGAGACAAAGATATCATTTTCAATCATTATTACATTATAATGCTTATTCATGTTTCTTTTTTGAACGAGATTTAATGTAAGAATTATAAAACAGGTAACTAAATAAGAATAAATATGATGAATATATCACGAAACCGGTTTCGAGAACATCTTTAGGCGTGTCACATTCATAATTATTTACGTGAAGCCAATATACCCAGAATGAAAGAAGAACACCGAATAACATCTGTAATGTTTGAATGGCCGTGATGAACATGGCGAATTTAACAGGAATCTTCACATCGATTGATTTTAGAGTAAAATAACTGTACATAAACGAATGCACGAAAACATTTGTATAACTTAGTAAAGTTCCGAAAGATGCTTCCCTATATGCAGCGTGCCACATTCCGATTAAAGTTGCCACATGATGATACCAGTGCAGAAACATCAAATTTCTTTTTCTCAGTACAATTAGAACAGTATCTCCCAATTCCCATACTTTTGAAAACAGAAATAATGTACCCCAAAATATGAACTGTGGAGATTGTTCCGTAATCATCTTATCACAAACGATATGATAAAACGGGTAATGACTAAATGCAAACAGAATTATTGAAAATACTCTTACAGTCAAAATGATACTAAATAGAGCGAGGATCCCATTCCAAACGAAAGATGCACGTTTGAGTTCGAAGGCAGGTCTGGTCTTCATATATTCTCGAAGAAAGTAGATGGTTATCAGGTAGATGGTAGCAATGTAGACTGAATAATGCCAATAATTCCGATAGAATCGTCTCACATCTTCTTTATCGATAATAGTTTCGAATTGAAAAGGAGCTGGAAGCGGTTCGCTTAAGTTTATCGATTTCATCTTGGGTTTGTGTTCTGGAAAAAAGTAGTGTTATAATACAGTATATAAAATATGCTAAAATAATAATATTCGTTTAAAAATAAATAAATAAATATTAAAAATAATATTTTATTTGAGTAACTATAAAATGTAATAAATTGATAAATTTCTTAGAAATATTTCAAATGTAAAGTCAAAAATATTTTATCAACCTGTTTAACTCTACGCCTTAATCGCCTGTTTAATACCCACAAAATCCAAACTGCGACTCTTCCACACCCTATATTTGTACAATTTATAGATGTCAGCTACTTACACGTGCGTAATATTTTCGAAGCTTGCTGACTTATGTAGTGTTATACACAAAATTGTAAGCGTAACTTGTCATTGGAACAGGCAACTGAAAGCTAATGATGCCCAATTTTAGCGGTATTCCAACTAAACCCACAAATCTACTAGTAAACGAGGAAACACTCGTTTGCAATTAGATAAAATGTAAAGAAATTCATTTATAATAAATCTATTTCGTGAAAATTTGTAGATAGGTTTTCTTACAAATGTATTGAAACTTAGACCTTCTTAACCTAACATAATAGTGATATTTACTATAAAATAGTGATAACCACAATATTTTAACACCGTTCCAATAGAGTTGCTATTCTAGAATTATTTATTGGTAACATACTATATTGTGCGCCATATTGTAAGACTTGCCGATTGTTCGTGATTGTCGGGACGGTCGAGGGGTCGAGATAATCGCATGCGGGCATGAAATTAGCACTGAGACAAGTTTACCATTTTTATCCATTTAATAAAAATGTTTAACGGTTTTTTTACAAATGTTTCTACGTCTCCGTCGACACAAATTTACAAGGATAGAGTCTGGTAAAATCACAAATATTCCCAAAGTGTCTTCCTTGGATTCTCGGTTACTATCGGCAGATTCGAATGCCCCGGGCACCCTGGAGCTTGGAAAAACATAGTCCGTGTCGCAGGGATGAATTTTGAAGAGCACGAACAACTTCGGAACATCGAACGTCTCTCGGAGATAGATAAAAGGTCGAACAGCAGATTTTTCTGAGAAAACAAAATGTTTGGAGCAAAGAAAAAAGAACGTCGAGTCTTTGAAACGCGCGTTTTTATAAGTTATTTCGTTCTATTCCGCGTACCGATTGGTTTCCCCTCGTCATTCGAAACCTTTGGGGGACACGGGAGAGGTCAATTTCGAGACTAAACCCGAGTTCCGTTCATCTAAAAATTCCTCGACTTTGATATTCTCTCGCGATTCAAACCCTTTATTTTCGTTATATTGGAAGGTACTTAAACAATGAAATATCGTTTAAGCTGGGCTTTAAGTTTTGCTTTGTTTAATTCTGAAAGATGAAAGCTTAACTAACTCTCTAGTTTTTCAACACTCGAAACATAAAAGTTCGAAGTCCGTCTGGGACCTGAGAATATTGGTGTTCATTATCATGCCTTGTCACTATAGGAGTAATATATTGTACTCATACTTAATTAGTTACAGTAGACCCCCCTATAACGCTTAGATACGTTCCACGTTAATCGAATTTTACGTTGTAGGAATGATTAAATACATGAGCCAATCGCAGCCCGATAGGTGTTTACGGACTAAGGCTGTTTGAAAGGTTTTCTTCTGTAAAATTAACCGATTCTAGAATAATTCCACTCAATATTTCCAAAACACGTATAATTTTTTGGGAATAATCTGTATAAACTATGCTATAAACAAAAAATTATAGGATTACTTACCGAGTGTGTACCATTCGACTACGCCGTTGCTCAAAGCTTGTTTTCGTCACGGAACAGCACACGAAACGACTGCCGCAATTTTTGATAACGAAATTTTCGCAGAAAAATAACTTGACGTTTGGAGACATCATTAATATAAATAATTTTTATGGCCGTTGAATAAGAAATGTATAAAATTACAAGAAATGTATAAAATTAGTGCTGTATTAGACTTACGGTATCTAATTTACATACTGTACAGACGATAATAAACTCAACTTATTGCCTAAAATCTCCGTAGCGTGGCGCCACGCTAGACGGCGGAAATTATATATTTAATTATAATAAAGTTACAATAAGTTAATATATAATTATATATACAGTACCTAATTTATATATAANCGTTGAATAAGAAGTGTTTCTTTCACAAGAAATGTATAAAATTAGTGCTGTCTTAGACTTACGGTACCTAATTTACATACTGTACAAACGATAATAAACTCAACTTACTAGCCTAAAATCTCCATAGCGTGTTGCCAGGCAGCAGAAAGCATATATATAATTATAATAAAATTACAATAAATTAAGTTAATATATAATTATATATACAGTACCTAATTTTTATATAATTAATATATAATTATATGTAC